ACACACACACACACACACACACACACACACACACACACACACACACACACACACACACACACACAGCGTGTGTTCAGCTAATAAAGGCATCCAAATGTGTGCAAAGAATTTCAGGAGAAAGACCTCAACAGTTGCAGAGACCAGCGTCAGACTACACTTGTGTTCACAGTGAGAAAGACCGCCACTCCCGTATCTGCCTGTCCAGTCGCAGTACCGCCACAAAGAGCGCAGCTCCACAGTCTCGCAAGACACACAGCGATAACCAACCTGTATTGTGCTCAACTGCTTCTTATTTGTTATGTTTTTGTATTTTTTTTTTTTTTGCTCATTTTGTTGTTGGATAAAATAATCAGGCTGCCCACGTGCTCAGTGACCTTGTGGTTTCCCTTAAATGTTTGGGCTCAGTAACACGTGGAGGATCTTGTGGGAATTGTAAGGTGCCATTACGTAAATGCTCATTTGGATAAACAGCTTCTTTTTTTTTTTTCCATTCAGCTAATCAACATGTGGAATTCCTTAGCTGCAGAACTCAAACAGGAACCCTAAAACTGAAGCAGTTTTTTAAAAGTAGATCAGTCCTGCAGTCACGAAGAATTGTCTGCTTCTTGTCTTACAGTGCTTTATTGTTCTAAAATTGATTACTTTTTAGTTTATTACACCTATTCCATCTAGAGTTTTGTGTTTCTTAATTTATGTATCACATTTTATACATTTTCTTTGTTAACTCTCATGCATGTGTTGCTCAGTATTCTGTGTTTTAAAGAGCGTTTTAGGGACGGGGATTGCAAATTAACTTAGACTATAAATGCTGTGGTGTGTGGCATGGTTCATGTTACATTCTTTCAAATAAACAATAAGCAAACTAAACCCAGAGACTGTAACTAACTGCACCGAAATGTTGTTCTAATTGGGAGAGGAAATGTTTCGGACTTTGGACTGCTTCAGCTTGTTTCTCCCACAAATTAGACCTCCAGATTCCTCCAGTCTAAAAATGAGATTTTGTAATATTCTTGATTTAATGTCATTAATTCTTTATCTAGTACCATGAGCTTTAGAAGCTTTTGTATATTTGGCTCTTGACAGGCAAGAAAAAAAAAACAACCCAGAAAAAACTGGTTTCTTAAAGAGAATAAAATGTATTGGACTTCACACAGGACAAATCAACCACATTAATCCATATGTAGATAGAAAAATCCTTCAAAGCTCAGAATCATACCTTTCAGATACCTTTCCTTCCCATCCCACAAATTTCTACAAACACTTTCATCTATCCTCCTACATAAACAGCAGCACTTTCCTCTTTGGCGTCCTCTTTCACTCACCTCTTTCTGCCACTCTGGTTGGCTGGTTAAGTACGGCCTTTCAAGGAGGCTGCAGAGTTTGCTTTCATCTCTCTTTGTAAGTGGGATCAGAGCGTCCTTGGGAACCCGCAACCTAAAAAATAAAATTTAGATTAAAAAACATATATACAAGAGACTTCAGTTCATGGATCTTATCCTTGAAGAATGTTTCGTTCCCTTTTCTTTTCTTTTTTTTTTTAAACAGACTCCCAGAAAGGAGGTTATGTGTAGGTTCAGCCAAGTAAAAAAAGAAGAAAAAAAGAAAAGAAAAACCGAATAGACTACAATTTAATGTATGTCAGAAATTTTCTTTTGGCCCAAATTTGTTCAAGGGGGTGTATACTTAAAACTCAATATGTTTTTGCAAAGAGCTCCATGAAGGGGGGGAAAAAGTGATGGCAACAGCAACAGAAACCAAAACAAACAATCTAAACTTCCCCAGAATATAATCCCAATTAGAGGCAGGAGGAGGAAGTAGGAAGTAGCGAATGCTCAGTCCAAACCTCTGTAGGTCAGAGGGGAGGAGGCCTAGCCACATAACGCTGGGGACGGTCAGACTGTGGGCCTCAAACGACATTGCCTGCGGATAAACCGACGCATACACACCCAGTCACATACGCACACATCAAATACACATAGCATGCTTACACAGAAAACAAACACACAGATAATCAGTGCTGTACTCTCATACCACAGCGAACCCCAACACATGTTTACAATGAAGTTAATGAAACAAGAATGACTACAAAAGCCTCACAAAGGTCAAAAGTGATGTGACTGTCACACAATCGCATAACAGTTTCACTTCATAGCGTGTCTGTTTAATTTTCTAACATGCATGACTGATTCTTTTTATGTAAAGAGGTGCATGATTATAACATGCTAACAGAGAGACACTCAACAGGCTACACTGGATAATGCAGAGTACAGGAATAACAGCATAACAGGACTCACCACTGATCCATACTTGTAGATGCACATGATTTCAATGCCTGGGAAAATCAGAGGGAGGGACAGAGAGACGCTGCAATCACTTGCATACCAGAGCAATTATCCTCTGTGATGTGATCTTAGAACAAAGTAAAGCATTACATATGTGTCTCGCCACGCAGCGGCAAAAAACTTAGTGGTATGGAGGCTGATGGAAACCGAGCCAACATCACACCAACAAGAATAATAGCTAGACTAGGCACCATGACGCAGTGGACAGGTGCTAACTTTTGTTGGCTTAGCGAGACATGCAACCCAGCTGTGTGTGTGTGTGTCTGTGCGTGGATCTGAAATGCTGTTAAATGTGTGGAAAAATGCAAAGTATGTCCGACAGCTTAAGTATTCAAGCAGATGAATTATACCATGAGGATCAGCATCCACGAGGGCAAAGATGGGGATGTGCAGCTCATCCCAAAGCCTTTTCACCATCAGCCTGCTGTTCACATCTGGCACACCTTTACCCTGATTCACACAAACACAATGATTAAGTAAACAGATTACTAAGACTGCTCTTTCTGAAAGAAGACAACATTCAGATCAAAAGCAGACACAGAAAAATACTGTGATAATGATGCAAGGGGAGATCTTTGTGCAGAAGTCATCATCCAGCAGTCTCTGGAACGTCGCATCCTTCTCGATGATCAAGACAAATTTTGCAGATGATACAATATCTGGAAAAGGTCAAGGACGACAGCTGCAATGATAGACTTACAATCATGGGACAAAACATGAAAGTAGCTTCTTAAACAGATTACAAAGCATACTTTTAATTCCACTGATGTTCGATGAAACTGAGACAGCCTGAAAGCAAAAAAATAGAGAAGTAAAAAAAATACATTAAAAAAAAATTGCACTATTACATGGCATTTAATTTTAATAACTGAAAAAAAAATGGTAATGATATGCTGTAAAATGCAACAATGACACACAGACAAAAAAAGTTTGAGTTTCCCCCTGCAAAGCAGTCTAAGTGCTTTGTATTGCTAGCTGAATTTACTGTTCATCTTTTTCTTGGAAGAAAACGGTTGTCGTTATGCTGTCTACAATGAAAATTAACCCTTTGGACCTACTGATGGGAATCACATACAGGTTATCTATATTATGGATTTATATTTAGAATTTATTTTAGATTAAATCTTTTAATACTAATAAATGCTAAACAGTGATGTGCAACACTGGGCTTCAATAGATCAGCTGAAATGTTTTTTTGTGGGACAATGGTTGCCTGTGCCTCTGTGATGCCCATCTCTCATTCAGTGACATTATTGACATAGTGGCTCTAGCTGCTCACAACCCTAGCAGAATAGCGGCAAACAGAGTGTTGACTATCAGTCTGTGGTGCACGTGGAAGGCTTGAGTCATTACTCAATGAGATAATTTCCTGTAATTACTGGCTTTACATTCTATCACTGTCATAAAAAGTTTGAACCCAGTGAGCACGAGGTCGTTAGGATGGCTTTGCTAAATAAGCCAAATGTTTCTCACATTTCCACAGCTGTAGCATCGAACTAAGCATAGTCCATTTCATGCCTGTCCATCAAGCAAGCAGAACCTAATCTTTGTCCTAGTTTAATGAAGGCTTTTAGCCGTATCAAACATCTATGGCAACATTTCATCCTCGGAGGGCCAGACTGTTTTAGAAAAAAGTAAGGAAAAGGCTACTATGATTAAATTACATTTTTCTTTGACACACAAATGCAAAGCATTACTGTACTAAATTCTGTAATCACATTACTCTTAAAATTATATTATTGCCTACATTATACAGCTTCTTCAATTATGTGCACAATGGGTGGATAGAAATTAAAACAATGATAGATCAATAAACATTTTTCCTGTGCACTGCAATCAGCTGAGATCAGTTATTAAGCAGAGGAGAAAAACAAAATTAAATACAGAACAGAGAAGGGCAGACATTTAGCCATCAGTAAAACAGTAAAAGTCTGTTTGCACGTACAGTATAAACTGAACGCCCTCTGTTGGAATCGACTTAAATAGCAGCTCAGATTTAGTACAGTTTCATTAACATAATGCTGCCTTTTACTGACATTTGAGGGGTTATTTAGATTTCACTTTTAAGGGCTGGTTCTGTTCCCTGAGCTGTATTTTGACTATATTTGGTGTATGGTCAGATAATGTCAATATTTTAAAGGCCCCTGGAGAAATTTCATGTATGGTGGTATTAACCTATATAAATAAAAAAGGACGCCTGGCTTACGTAGCTCAGACTTACAGTTACTTTCTTGGGGAGTACAGTAAACCAAAAATCCAGCTATAAATGATGTACTGTTTCTTGTTGCAGTGTCATTTAAAAACAAAAACAAAAAAACAAAACTGTGGTGCGAATGAGACACGGCGAGTCCTGGGATGGTAGGTTTGAGCCATTTTATTCAATATTTGTCACACCACAACCCACCAACCCCTGAGTCCCTGTCTTTTTAACTAGGCGGGCGTGATTAAGGATGCACCACAGACCATGCCCCACGACAAAAACAAACACTAAATCAGGTGAAGAAGCATTAAAGTGGTGCTTACAGTTGAGCTGGAGTGGCAGTCAATCCTCGTGCCGTCCTCCTCCATATAACACAGGTCACCTGAGATCAATCCCTTGGATGTGGCCAACTAGCAACAAAGTTACAGATAAGTTACAGAATTTAGCACAAGCCCATACAATGTATTATCACACACATACAAGGGACACGCTATTTCAAGCACTAGCCCCTGAATTCAACTTTAATTTTATTTCTCTTTGATCAAAAGAGCTGTTTGTTTTCCACAGGTGTTTCCTGGGACAAGAAGCAGAACAAAAGTAAAATACCATCCTAAACTAACATACTTCATCTGTGGGAGCTGAACTAATATCCAAAGGAATTTTTCTACAAGTTTTCAATATCAGGGGTTTGTATTTTCTACCACACAATCATGTGAACCGCATCGCGCGCTAACACGGACATGCACACTCACCACATGTAGTGATCTGCGAGGAACCTTTAGCATGCAGGAGATGTCATCTACGATACTATCAACAGCTTTCTGTGAACCAAAGAGCTTTGTGTTGTTGTAATAGATGTCTCTGTGGAGACAAACACTGTTATGTGAAAAAAAATAAACTGAAAGTCAAGCATTCCTATGAAAAACAAGGGTATCTATATGTTGGCTTTAATAAAGTATGGATTAATTATAAAGAACCTCTTTGTAGCATATGAGTTGCTCTGGACAAGCCTGTAGATGACTGAGAGAATCTTGAGAATCTGGGCTTTGAAGAGAAACACAAATTTGGGGAAAAAAAAACAAAAAAAAAAACCTAATTAAACCTTAAACACTACATCAATATATCAGAGATTAAACAACACATTCTGTATCCATGCCGTAAAACTGATCCCAAAAAGGCAACATGTTACGTCTCTGCCAATTTGTCACCTAAAACTAGCTCTGACTTTTACTGACATTTGTGCAGTTTATGCATATGTTCACGACGAATACAAATGAAATCCATATGCACCATACAACTGTGTTAAAGAACTTCAAAAACAGAGATGTTGCATAACAAATAAAATGAAAAAACAAACATAACAGTTCATCTTCTCACCAAATTTAGTGACAGATGAAGGGCAGTCGGCCCTAATGGTGGTGACAGACTGTCTTGAACTCATCTGAAGCCCAATGGCACTGTCAAAGCTTCAGTGGGAAGCAATCAAAAAAAGATTTATGATTTCATGATGTAAACAAAGTAACAAAAGAGGCCATTAAAAAAAAAAAAAGCATCTGCACAGACTGTGTGTGCTACATTTACAGTAAGCGCTTTCAAACATTAGCTCCCACCTGCAAATTATCTAAAATTCCCCACACCCCGAGGGCTACCTGTAGCACTGTTCCATTTAAAATGGCTGAGCCAGAATGTGATTTAAGCTGTAGCAAGGTTTGATCTATTTGAGATCAGACAGTCTTTGTTCTAAGCATAAGGTCTCCACATCCTAGTCACATTAAAGCCTCTTGACAAATTCTGTGCTTTTCAATTCCTTATCAGTCTGTCATCTTTTTAGCAGCAGGAAGTTCTTTTAGGTTTTCTCTGAATCAAAGCAGAAGATTTTGATTTCCACCACCTGGTTGATCCCATGGTCAGCTTGAAAAACCCAATCTAAAAATTCAAACAGAGCAAAAGTCTGCGTTTATCTCTTTAAGGGAAATTAAATAACAATGAAATAATCCTGTGTGGCTTTACACACGATTACTTTTGGTTTGTGCTATCTCCCAAAGGTCATGTGGCTTAAAATGAATGAGCGATTACATGTGTGGAGGGAAACTTGCCATGCTACAGCATGTTTAAATCAAAATACCTTATGTTGGCCCAGCTGGATCTGTTGGGCAGCGCCAGGACAGGGGCCTCAGCTTTGGACAGACTGGTGACTATTTCCAGGATTATGCTTTCAATTCGGTTTAAAATTTCCTGGCTGGAAATAGAAATACTGAATGAAGTTATAATATCACAAGAAAACTTTTTTCAAACAGACAACCAATTCTACAATTAATGTCAAAGACCAATTGTAGTCTAGGACTGTGATTCTCTTTTATAATAATATGCAACCAGCAGAATTTAGGAAAATCAAAGAAACAGTTTCTGATTTAAATAAATACCTAAATTAGAAGCTACATCACACTGCTGTCAAATGATATAATACCATCAGGCAATGCTGTTCATTGTGAGTACCCATGGCACCCAGCTTTGAATCACTGTCATTTCTAACCAGATTATTCTAATTGTTACTTCAACCAGCTGTGTGTTTAACAATAAATCTTTAGAGGCTAAAAATTCAACTTTCTAAATTCATCATTATTACAAAATTTCACCTATAATGTGAAATGGATAAAAGAAATGTATTTATAAATGGCTAACAAATTAGAGGATAAAGCAACTTAAATTGTCTTATAGAGCCCAATATATCAATGGGGTCGATATAATTACTAATATATTGATTTTGGAATTTTAAATGACCAACTAATAAAAATGTAAAAAGGAAAGAAGAGACAGGAGAAACACCCTTCAACCATATTATTTCTGTTGATGTTACATATTTTGTTCACCAGAGGGCACTCAGCAGCCTCCCTGTGGGCAAAAACTTGTTTGGAAAGAAACAAACAACCACCAGCTGTGCTGAGGAATTTTTGTAAAAATAAAACAAGATTAATTTTAAAACACACTATCATTATTTCAGTAAGAACTATTATTATTAACTAGACATGACAACTGCTAGGAAAATCTGTTTACTTTAAGTGTCTGAAAGGGGAAAAATATATACTTTTATAAATCACTAAATACCTTATTGGTGTTAAAGTCCTCTAATGTCTTATGCAAACACCTTTTAAGTGCTTTGGCACTGATTCTATAACTGAACCATCATTGCAAAGTTATTCCCTCATTTGGTATTATGATGATGGTGCTGGAAATCACAATAAGCCAGATTGGTCTAAAATTTCTAGCTCTTCCATTAAGTTGAGATTTTGTGACTGCAAAGGCCACAGTCAAGTTTGAAATCATTTTCATATTCATCAAATCATTCACTGTCATCTTCAGACTGTAAGAAACGACTCTTATCAAGATGGAAATGTTTCATCACAGGATAAAGGTGATCCCATGGGAGACTTTGGAGGCCATCCGAGTACAGAGAACTTATTGTCTTGTTCAAGCAACTAGTGTGAGATAACTGGAATGTTGTGAGATGATGTGTTATCCTGCTCGAATCAGCCATTACAAGATAGGGACACTGCAGTCATAAAGGGATGCACATGGTCAGCAAAAATTCACACTAAACATTGCTCAGTTGGTACAAACAGCCCTAAAATGTGCCAACAAGTTTTCTCCCACACTATTGCACAACCATCAGTCTGAACCACTGAAACAAGGCAAGAGGAGCGTGTGCCAGTAGCCCCAGCTTCCTCTTCTTAGCTGACAGGGGTGGCACCCAATCTGGTCTTCTGCTGCTGTTGCCCATCGGCTTCAAGGTTTTGACATGTTGCATATACTGAGATCCTCTTCTGCACACTTTGGTAATAACAAGTAGTTATCTGAATTATTAGCTTCCCGTTGGTTCAAAGCAGTTCAAAGGCTCTGACTTCTGGCATTAACAAGGCATTTACCCACAGAACTGCTGCTCACTGGATATTTACTTTTTTCAGCACCACTCTCTTTAAACCCTAAAGATGATTGTGTGAAAATATCGCAGACCTACAGACCAGCCTGTCTGACACCAACAACTATGCCACATTTAAAGTCACATAATGTTCTCTGCATATCCTGATGCTTGACCATGTCTCCATGCACCAAGTTGCTGCCATATCATTGGCCAACTACACATTTTCTTTAATTAGCAGTTGAACAGGTGCACCTAATAAAAGGGCAACTCAGTGTATGATTTTTATCCTGCTAGTTCAACATATTTTGTGCAAAATCTTTTCTAACGACCACATTTTTAAATACTTCCCGGACACATAACTGTTTCTACAGTAAAGTGTTTCAAGTAAAGTACATGATAAAATCAAATTAACTAACACTACCCATGATTGGCAGACATTTTTACATGTGACTGATTACACTGGGATAATAACAGGGCATAATGACAGGCTATGGTGAATTGGTAAAGCACACAGCTAGCCAACTACGAAACACAATGTCGCGTAAACCCTAGATTAACTGCTCTTTGTAAATATATATACACATCAATATGAGTTTAAATATCAAATATAACCGCAATACCAGTTACATAAAACCGCTTTGGCTCCTCAAAACATCCACACAGAGTCACACAGCGAATACTGTTGCACTACACAGAGAATAAGCTAAGCTAGCGTAACTGGCTATTAGCCGGTTGGAGCAGATCGCTGTGAACATACTGGTTGATTTCTTTTTCAGCACGCTGCCAGTCTGTCGTGACTCCCACGTTGATCAACAGTTTTGCATGGAGCTTATCAATTTCAGAACAAAAATGAGCCGCACGGGATTCCATCACGTTACCTGTTACTAAATGTCATGTTATCTACCTGCAAGAAATTCCCGCGTAAGGATGTTTTACGGAAATCTCGCGCGTTTTTGTGTCCATCACGCAGTTCAGACCTGTAGTATTTGTTTTGAATAAATTAATTTGCAACAATTATTCTGCCCTAAGAATTTCTACATGGTATTCAAGCAAAACTGAGCTTATAAATAGATACATTGTGAAAGTAATAACAAATAGTAATGATAAAGTGATTAATATTAATAATAAACGTTTTAAATTAATATGATTTTTGAAAGTAAAAAAAAGAGGTGTCTCCTAACACTGTCACGCCGTTTTTAATGACCGATACTAAAAGTTAAATAAATAAATAAAAGTGATGCTGCTTCAGCCTTGTGTGATTCTGATAAACAGGCAACACTTATATTCTCCAGACTTTAAGTTTTTTTTTTTAAAGTGGTCTTAAGCAATAGTTCCCCAGGTTTTCTGAAGGCCTGTTTTTTGTTAGGTCACTTAACAGTGACTTATGAATCATTCAAGCATAAAAACTCACTTATGTCAAGAGGTAGAACAGTGTTGTGCTGACACCTAACAGACATCTTGGCAGACAAAGAGACAATTTTAAACTGCATCTTTAGACACTTTAGATACTTCACACATTGTGAAGTAAATACTTTTCAATTTCTTCTGTTAAATTTAGGGAAAATCCAAAAGACAACACGGTTTGAGAGACAGAAAGTACCATTTTTGGACGAACAAGTTGATTTCCAAAGAGCTATTAACTGAAAACATAGAATATCTCAGTACTGCGTGCATTGTGACCTTAAGAATCCTGGACAAGTGGTGGACAAAAGAAGTGGCAGATCTAAAAATGATCTAGCGCAGAGGAACGGCATGGAGCCATATTCTTAACAAATAGGAAGAAAATAAGATAAGATAAGATAAGTCACAGCAGGAAGAGGACAGTGCAAAAATTACATAGCAGAAATTAGAATACAATAAGAATAAAATACTGTACACAACTGTACAGAATAGAATAAAATAAAATACTATATACAGTACAATAAATAGAATAAAATATACTATAGGATAAAAATATAATACAAATGCTGTAGTAAAAATACAACTTTGTCAGTTTCAACTTTTGAAAACTAATGATTCCAATTATTATTATTTTTGTTTAAAGATGGTTCAACTCATCATCAATTTGTATGGAAGAGTTGAAGACAGAGGTGCCACAGCGCATGTCTGAAGCCATCTGCAAACCAAGGTGTTGGATATCCTGTCAAAATCAATGAAATTATGAATGCGAAAAAGTGTTGTGAGATGTTAATCAACAATGCAATCCGATCTGGAAATTGCATGACACACAAGAACTTTCTTTTTTCCACATGACAATGATCCCAAACACTACTGCCAATGCAGTAAAAGCATACCTGGATAGAGAAACACACAGTGGAACACTATGAGTCATGCATTGGCCTCCCCAGAGCCTGGACCTCATCATTATTGAAGCAGTGTGGAAAAAAGGCATCATTTTGATAGAGAACAGAGCAAAAGGCAGCCAACGACCAAAAAGAGTTTCAAGAAGGTCCGTCAAGAAGGCAGAGAACTATTCCTGAATACTATAAATATCATAAGAAAGCTTGCCTAAGAGAGTTCAGGCTGTGTTGAAGAATAAAGGGGGTTATACCAAATGTTGACTTTCACCTGGTTAGAACTGGACAAACTGTTTTTGCTTTGTAAACTGTATCTCCGTATATGTTTGCACGTTTCAATTAATCCCTTCACCTGTTTCCCATTTTCCTGCCAAAAGAAAAAAAGAAATGAGGGGTGGCTCAGGTCTTTTGCACATCACTACATAAGCTTAAAATGTATTCCTACCAGTCTTCCCGTTAAAGATAAAGACCAGTAATCTAGTGTGTGTGTGGGCCAGTTAACACCTCAGTGGTGTAAATTAGGAGGCATATCCTGGTAATCTAGAAAAATCCACATCAGCACCCTATGTGACATTCATAAAGCCGTGTCGCTGAGCTTGCTGCTTTTTGTCCAAAGGTGTGTCGTGTGTGTGTGTGTGTGTGGTTTCTGTAGGGTGGGTGCAAGTTTAATTGGTTATGGTTAGCGTCTGTGAGAAGCCAAATATATATTGTTTCTGTTAGCCATGTGGAAGTGATTTTTAAATGTAATTTTGATGATGGCTGTGTGCGTAATGATAATGCTGGCCAACATGTGTTTTAAGGCTCTCTTAAATGGTACAAATGCTGCTCATTCTTTTGTTAGGAGCTCAGTTTACTATATCAGACAGTTATTGCCTATTTGCAGCTGTTTTAAGCTACAAACATTAAAAAGACATTAAATAAATACGACACCCTGAGGAAATTACACATTTTGCTTCATAAACAACCTTTCAGAACCTGTTTCTGTCTCTTGGTTGCATTGTGCTGCAGTCAAGTCGCTTCATTAAAGCAGAAAAATGTGCTTGGATTTTACAACTATTAGGTCATCAAGAGTCCCCACCTTTCGGAATTGCTGGCAGGCATGCTGCGTGTGTTTGGAGAGGCGCTGTGGTCTTTTTTTTCCACAGTGTGAAGGCCTGCTCAGAGCGTGTGGGAGCCAGGATCTAAAGAGAAGAGCTCCGTGCCCCTGACCTGACCCTGAATATTTTCTAATGTGTAGCTTTACCAATGGTCCCTCTTTCCCCTGAGTGACTTTGACAAGCTGCTTCCGTAGTAATGTCTCTTAATTTCAAAGTAATTGCTATCTCTTAGTGATGAGGAACAACCCCTCACCCAAGCTGAAAAAATGTTAATATGTGGAAGACCACAGGTTGCCGGGGTCCTTTTTCTTCTGTTCCAGAAAGCCTGAGACCCCTGCTGTTCCTTTGGCCCAAGAGAGATTTGTGTCGAGTGTGAGGCCCTAACCTGAGGAGACAGAGTGCAACGAGTCATGTGCTTGTCTCGGGATGAGTGTTTGTGCTGGGCAGGAGGGGGAACATGGGGGAAGTAAGGGGCTGCAGGGTCAGAGGAAAGAAAGGGGGGGGCGGCCGCTGCAGGTGAGGGGGATTAGCTGCAGCTAGAGGCCCAAAGAAACTAAATACAGATCTGTCAACCTAATCCTCACAAATAGAAAACAGAACCACCCTCCCTTCACAATCCACATTCAGCTCATCCACCGCTTGCTCTTCTACCCCCCACTACACGCCAACCCTCCCACCTCCCCTCCACTTACTACCTCAGGCTCTGCTGCTCCTCTGTTTCTCATCAGTTTTTGGCCAGTCTGTCTATGCTGCCTGCTCTCTAATGGCTCCTCAGACCAGCATCCCCTAAAGAGGGGCTGACTGATCACCCAGGGTCCTCTCTGATTGACAGACCAACATAGCCTTACGGAGTGATGAAAGCAAGAGTCAAAGGGGCAAGGCCTCTCGCTACATAGACAGGAATCTTAATGGGACCTCTGTCGAGAGTTGCTGAAACTGGGTGGACATTTATCAGGCCCACACACCTCAGTAACGGATGCCGATAAGTGTGTGGCTGGGTGAGGAAACCAGTGTCAAGCCTGAACTCTGTGCTGATGACACAAGTGACAGGGCGCCTGAGTGATAACATCCTATAAAGGATAAGCTCTACTAAGCTGGGTGTTATAGAAGGCTTAACTAAAACGGTATCTCTGATTGTCAGCGACACCAACTATAACTGATGGGTCTGGCTGGACTGCTGAGAGCTATAAATCAGGTTCAAGCTGCTCTGGTGATCCCAAGTGTGATATCAGCTTGCAGACAAACATGGGGTGGCAGGACATACCAGGTTGAAAGAAAGCAGTGAGTGATGGAGAGGAGAGCTGCAAGGTGCACTATTTCAAATAAGATAATCACATATTCCTCAGTGGAAAATATCTGCAGATCATTTGGACGTGCCACAGTATCATGAAGCTCATTTATACCAAATTAAAGAACAACATAAGGGTTGGGTTGCAATTGCCAGTTCCAAAGTATATGTAACCTATTTGTTATTGCTCAAGTCTAATAAAAGTCCTCTTGAATTTTTATCACCGTCCTTTTTCATGATTATTGTACCCGGCAAAACATTACGTTTAGTTGTTAAACATTGAGTTTTGGTTCTTTGGTTGTTGAGCTTTACAATGTGAACTAGTTTGAAGCTGTTTCATATACCCACCCCCCTCTTTTCTTCTGCCTGTCTCACAGCTGTGTCTCATATGTTCATGAGGCCCCTGGAAGTGTGAGACACCAGAAGGGGAACATTTGCAATAGCTCAGCTCCACCTGGTTAGGCTGTTTTAACAGGCCGTCGGTTTGTGCAGCGCACACAGTGGGGTTACGCCAAAAACATAGACGAAGGAGGACAGGACCAGCAGAAGAGGGAGGGGGCATGAGCAAAAAAATGTGCCTCCGCCCTCTTGTGTCCTGGCACCCCAGCCCTACACTTCTTTATTTGAAGGTCAGTTTACCTTGAAAAAAAGTTTTACTGTATCGTCTGTTGGTCTACTTGGTCAGACCCCGCCCCGCCCCTCTTCCACCAAACCTCATCCGCCTCACTGCATGCACAGGTCTTCAAAGGACTACTGCCTGCTGCTCTCTGAGGCAACACATGAAATAAATATTAATCTGACCTCTGACCGCATGCTTTGAGCTCCTAAGCAGAGTTAACCGGGCAGACAGAAAGAGCATCAACTCTTGTCATAGCTAAAAAGAAGTAAAAAGAAAGAAGCACAATATTTTTGAAGTGTTACCTGGATGTGAAAGCATTTCCAGGTAGATTTCACTGCACCGCTGTGTGGTCTTCTTTGGAGCTTTGCATCATGCTCCAACCTGTTGGAGTGTAGTGGGGAGGTGTTTATTTGCTCAGATCCCCTAAGATCATAATGGAAAGAGCGCATGGGTGTGCAGTCAAAATGCTCCAGGCCAAATGCTGGGTTTTAAAAGAAAAGACCTTTTGAGTTTACCATTATGAGCTCTAATAGAATAAGCCTTGTCATCATGGCTGCACAGCTGTTCAACTCAGCAGAGTTTTCTTCCTGAAAAGACTTACTCAGGCACTGCATGTCTACGTGACTACGT